GGGAAGTTTCAAAGAGACAGAAAATCTGCAACAGTCTGTTACAAAATCTGTAGCTTTCACCACCCAGGCTCACCAGATCCCCACCTCGACTCTCTAGGCGGGTGGAATCACTCCCATTTTACAGAGGAGTAAAGCCAGGCCAAGAAAGGAAGAATGGCATGCCCAAAGTCATATAGCTAACAAATGGTCTGGCAAGGACCGGAATCTGAACTTTTGGTTCCCAGTCTGATGTTCTTTCCAGGCAGAAAAACAGTCCACGGAAGCGTGTGGACCAGGGTTCCTATTGCTACTTGAAGACCAAGCATCAAATGCTGACTCTATCACCTGGGAGCTTCGTAACTTTGACCTCTCTCTGAGCCACAGTGGCCACTTGAATCAAATGGGCTTAATGGTTTCAACCCGTCAGGGCTGTGGAGGTGAAGGTAACGCACACCATTTTCCATGGGGCCTGGCTCTTGGCACGTGATGGCTGAACAAACAAGGTCTTTTTGACTGGAGAAGAGAATGGAATAGGAAAGGAATATGCGATGAGATGTGGACAGCAGGGACGGTTCATCTATAGAACGCTACCGTGAGCTTAGCGCCTACAGAGTGTCATGACGACTCTATAGGGTACTGCCATCCTGTTTACAGATAGGGACATTGAGGCTCAGAGGAGCGAAGTAACTTGCCCAAAGTCACACAGCTAACAAGCACAGGAGTTACAACCCATGTCTGATGGACTCCACATCCAGGCTTTTCTCACCAAAACAACCTGTGGGCAGGGGCTGAGACCCCCGTGGGCCTCCAGTGCTGGCTTCCTGTGCTGGCTGAGCAGAGTGGCCACTTTCCTGTAAGTAAAGGCAAGCTGCCTGGCCTGGGTTACGTACGGAAAGGAATGTTTCTAAGCCACTACCAGTTGATGAACAGATGGACTGAACGGCCAAGCATGGTGGAGAGAAGACATTTTAACCAGCCAGCTCTCCAAGACACTGAGTCTGGCGGGCTTCCCCGGGAAACTGGCAGAGGGAACCCAGGATTTGGGCAGTAGATGGTCTGAGCTACCCAGAGAGGCTGGAGGAGGCCTGGGTCCCTGCGACCAGATGCATTTGAGAACATGCAATTCCTGCCCAGAGGGCCCTGCTGTGTGGGCCCTAGGGCGAGGCCAGGGGAGGAAGAGGGGGCGGAGCCAGTGGGCGCAGGGCTAGGGCTCAGGGCTGAGGAGGAGACTCCTCTTTCCCCAGCCTTGATTTGCATCTGAGCCTGGCCTGTAGGAGGGGGCTGTTTGTGGAAGGAGTGGGTGTGTTTGTTGTTTGTCCGTCTTCCTTCTCCCTTTAGCCCTCTCTTCCCCCTCTCCATAACTGGTAGAACCTGCCATCCTGAGTCCCTTCCTCTGATTCAGTGGCAGGGAAGGGAGTGTCGTAGCAGAGAGCTGCCCACATTCCTGGCTGTCCCCAAGGCCTCCACGACCAGCTTCCGCAGGGCACATGCAGGGCTCGTTCATCTTTCTGCTTTTCCTTATGATGTGGCTGCCTCCGGGACACAAATGCATGGCCCTTGGGGCCAGGCCTCTGGCGACCAGGATAGGGAGGGCAGCGCATGAGCCCTTCCCCATCGCTCTCACCCACCCAGGCTCACCAGATCCCTACCTCCACTCTTGAGGTGGGTGGTATCACTCCCATTTTACAGAGGAGTAAAGGAAGGCCAAGGAAGGGAGAATGACATGCCCAAAGTCATATTGCCAACAAGTGGCAAGGACCAGAATTTGAACTTTGGGTTCCCAGCCTGACGTTCTTTCCATCAAAGTCAGCTCATTTGCCCATGCAGGGTGTGGGCTGCTGCTTTCATCTCTGATTTGGGACCTGGGTTGACTCAGTGACACAGTCTGCCCAAGTCATCTCTGCCAGTCCCCTGGGTTTCTTGTAAGTGCCCACAGCCAACCTGCCGATGCTGCTTCCACTCTACCTCTTGTTGGTGTCTGCTGTGTCCTGGGCAGCTGAGGCGGGGCCCTGCCTCTCCCCCCGCCTGGGTGCTCCAGGAGGTCTCCGCTTCTCTACTCAGGGTACGATCCCTGGTGCTGCCCAGGGTGGCGGCATCTCAGTCCTCACCACCGCAAAATGGCTTTGTGCTCTGACCTGAAATGGACAGAAGCCTCCTCTCCCTAACTTGTGTCCCAGTTTGCAACCCAGGCCCCAAAGAAGCCCCTCCAGGTCTTCCGTGCAGCCCTCTCTCTAAGGCAGTGAGCGGGTCAGCCTGCCCCCATTCTCTCACTTGCAATAGCAGCCTCAGCTCAGGTTATGATTCCAGGGCAGCTGCTTCTATCACCACCATGACCAAGCCCCATCTACACATCCCCTTCCCATACACTTGGGTCCGGGGTGGAGATCACGACCCTGCCATCAGTGTACTCCATCCCTCTGCCATAGTCCCTGGTTAAGGAATGGGAATATGACCAAAGGCAGAGCCAATGAAACTCAGTTCCAGAAGTCTGAGCTAACAGAGAAATGCACTGGTCTTCACCCTGGTGAGAGGGTGTGAGGCCTGGAGCTTCTGCATCCACCTTGCTCCCATGGGGTGGAACCAGCCTGTGATAGAGCTGTTGCCTGGAGAACTGCTGAGCCAAAGAACCACAGGGAACACCAGGTCTTGGTGACATTGTTGAGAGCCCTGATCAAGCTTTGTCTGAAACCAACCATACCCCTCGAACTTCAGTTCCAAGATCAATAAATTCCATTTTTGCATTAAGCAAAAAAAAAAAAAAAAAATAGTTTTTCTTTCACTTGCAACCACAATTCTGGCACTACAGAGAGTCACATTTGGGCCCCTTGCTTCTCTCCCTACCCCACCCCTTCCCTCTCACCAAACTTCCTCCTCAGAGGCCTATCCAACCCCATGCAAATTAACTCATACGAATAGATACCCAGGCCGCCCACCACTCGCCCAGAAGCGCCTTTGTACTATTTAGATCTATTTGTTCTATGTAGAAAAAGTTGTCCCGGACACAGTCCATACTCGGCTTGTCGGGGTAGGGGTGGGTGGGGAGTAGAGAAAGGGGGTGAGAGAACCAAGCACAGTGGCCAACACTGGCTCTGGCCAGGCACGTTCTGAGTCCCAGCTTAGTCCTGTCTGGACAGACGGTGCCCACAGGCTTGGCCCAGGCTGGATGTGCAGAACTCAAGAGGGGCTGCCTGATCGGCCTTCGGGGTCTCCTCCTATTGCTCCCAGTTAGAAGGATGGGTTAGAAGAAAGAAGAGACCACCAATCAAGTTGTTTTTTTAAAAAAACTGGCCACTTCCCGGGATAAATGATCCCTGAGCTAAGAGGCCTCTTCATTTCTCATTGCACCCTCTGGCCTGGCTTCCTTCCAGCTGCACCCCACCCCCAAACAAGTCCTTTTCCTTCTTAGAGCAGGAGCCTGGGAATGAGTCAGTGCCTCGTTCTCCTCATTCCTTTCTCGCTGCTCAGGCCTCTCCCCTTTCCCCGGCCATGCCCGCCTCTGGGCAGCCATGTGCGTCATGTACAGCCCGCTGTTCCCCCGGGGCCGGCCCAGAGGGTCCTCATGTGTGAGGGAGAAGTGGGCAGGCCTGACCTCTCGGCTCCGGGGGTCTCCTGAGAGGGCCGGCCTTCCGGGCTAGGCCACAGCTACGGGGTCTGTCCCAGCCCCCAGAGAAGGATCTTTCCCTGGGGCCTTGTCTTCCTGCCCACCCAGCCTGTGTCAAGTTCATCCCTGTGTCTGTCCCAAAGAAGAGGAATGAAAACTCCTTTAGAGAATGCCTGTTGTGTCCCAGGCCCCACTGTGAACTTTGTTCTCGTATCAGTATCGGTCCTCCACGTGGTGACCACTAACCACACCAGCGCCCAGGAAGCCATGCGCTGTGAACACGCCGCCTGTCCCGGCTCAGACCCGGACCGCGTCCCTCTCTGGGCCAGTCCCTCCTCTCTCTGCCCTCGCCTCCAGCCAGCTCTCTTCAGGCCCAGGGCTGGCAGGCCCCAGGCCAGGAGTGGATTCTTTCACACTCTCTGGTCTAAATCAAGCTGCACCGGGAGGAGCCCGGTGGCCCTCCCGCCTTATTTGGAAGAAGAGCAGGAGGCCAGCCGGGACATCGCTAGTGCGCCACACGCTTCTTCTCATGCGCCCCGTCACAGATGCCGTCATCCTCCAGGGACTGGGGAATCTGCACCCCGAGAGCAGGGGTGTCGGAGAAAGAATAAAATGAAGGGGCCGCCTTCTCGGGCTCTAGAGGACGGCAAATACTTGCGGACAGTGGTCATTTTCTCCCTGCCATTAAATAAGGAACTCTCTATTTTAAAATACAAATTAGAGGGAACTTGGGAAACCATGGGGAGCCTGTGGGGAAACCCTGGGGACATTTTCTGGGAGGGGACACCATGAGGAGGGGTCTACTGGGGCCGCTCAATCAGGGTCTGGTCTCTGAGCGAGGGTCCCTCAGGCTCAGTTCTGCGCCTGCCTCCGCAGGCTGAAGGGAAGGCTTAATAAGCACCAGGTAACCCTGGTGTCTCCAAAGAGCTAGAGAAAAGCAGTCTGGGACCTCGTAGAATCTTCTAGCATCAGTTCCCACCCCTAGGTGCACATTAGAACCACCCGAGGAGCTTTTTTAAACTACGCACCCCAGACCAGCTGTGTCATGACCTCAGCGTGGGGCAGCTGCGACGTTTCACCTCCCCCTCCCGTGACGCTACTGAGCTGTGCTGCGCGAATTTCCCTGGTGACAGAGATCACTTGTGGGGCTTGTCGAAAAAAGACAAAAAAGACTTCCAGGCCCCCAACCAACCAAACCCACCAAACCAGAATATTGAGGGGTGGTTCTAGAAAAATCAGAATCTCTGGGGAATGAGGCCCAGGAATTTGCATTTCTAGCAGGTTCTCCAGGGGACGACTGTGATGACCGAAGGTGGAAAACCACACTCTCATGCAGACCCTTCCTTTGCCCCGGCTCACGGCTCACACAGCCATGGCCCATCCGCCCCGGCTCTCCCCGAGGCCTTTCCTGTGAACTCACCGCAGCACACGTCCTCTTCACAGCACTGACTCCATTTGTGCTTGTATGTTCATTTCTGTGCTTCTTGAATGCCAGTCTCACGCCTAGACTATAAACGGTGAGGGGGCAAGAGCCAAGTCTGTTTGGGCCCATGTAGGGTAGCGGTTGACTAACAGTATGGGCTCTGAAGCTCGGACTTGCTGCCCTCAAATCCCAGCTCCCTACTCACCAGCTCTTTGCTCTTCAGCACGTTGCTCCTCCTTCCTGTGCCTCAGTGTTCTCATCTGTAAAATGGAAATTAAAATGGTAATACCTGCCTCACATGGTTGATGTGAGGAACGAATGAGATTCTACATGTAAAACATTGAATGTTATCCCTGGCACCTTGGAAATGGTCAATAAATGTTAATTGTATTCAAAACAAACCAGCCCCAAACATAGTAGCTTAAAACGACAACCATTTAATTGCTCATAGTTCTGTGGGTTGACGAATTGGTCCAGGCTCAGCTGGGCGCTTGTTTCTGCCCCAGGTGGTGGTTTTGGCTGGGCTCACGGTCATATTTTTGGTCAGTAGGCTGGGGCCTGGGGCTCTCCACCGCCCAGCTCACTTGCCTGGCTGTTGGCCAGGGCACCTTGGTTATCCCGTGTGGCCTCTCCAGCAGGCTGGCTCAGGCTTCCTCATGCGGCAGCTGGGTTCCAAGAGGGCAAGCGCAAAAGTAAAGGGTCACCTTCACAGCATTCCTCAAAGCCAGTTACAAGATCAGTCCAAAATCGAGGGATGGAGAAATGGTGCCAGTTTTGTTTGTTTGTTTGTTTGTTTGTTTTTGAGACAGAGTCTCACTCCATTACCCTGGGTAGAGTGCTCTGGCATCAGCCTAGCTCACAGCAACCTCAACTCCTGGGCTCAAGCGATCCTCCTGCCTCAGCCTCCCGAGCAGCTGGGACTACAGGCATGCACCACCATGCCCGGCTAATTTTTTCTATATATTTTTAGTTGGCCAATTAATTTCTTTCTATTTTTAGTAGAGATGGGGGGGGGGTCTCACTCTTACTCAGGCTGGTTTCGAACTCCTGACCTTAAGCAATCCACCGCCTCGGCCTCCCAGAGTGCTAGGATCACAGGTGTGAGCTACCACACCTGGCCAATGGTGCCAATTTTTGTTGGGGAGGAGGGGTGTGAAGTCTTCCTGGGCATTTTCAATCTTCCATAGTTGTTATTTTCCTGTATTTAGCATGGCATGCACAGGTATATGGCCCAAGATGCATTTAATACATATTTGTTAAACAAATTAAAAAATGGATAAACAGAGGAGAAACTATAGAGCAGAGAAGAAAATGGACTTGCTGCCGATGAGTGGCAGAGCCAGGAGTAGAAACTAGGTCTCCTGGTGCCCAATTCTGCCTCTTCCCATTACATCAATCTGCCTGAGGTGGGGCTGAATTCTCCAAATTATTGCCTCACTCCTCAGCTTCCTTTGAACCTCTGGAGGTGTCTCTACATGGCCAGGACTGCGCTTGTTTCCTGAAGAGTCTGAGATGGGGAGAAGGGAGGATTTTTCATTTCCTGGGGCATAGAGCACCACAGAGAATGGTCAGAGCACCAGCAGCCGGCCCATTGCATGCGGGCAGTGGCCGGGGCGGTCAGAAACGGGGCTAGATCCCTGTGTAGGTGCTGTGTGACCTATTTATCTCCCCACCAACTGTGGACATGCACGAGTGTGCACGCACACCAACACATGTACGTGCTTGCACACACATGCAGGCACCCGCACGCTCCTTCTCTCGCCTCTCTCTTTAAGGTCTGGGAGAAAGCGGCCACCAGTTTGGTACCTTGGCCATGTGGCTCTGACTTGGCCTGGCCCAGCAATGTCATGGCTTTTGAACGGTGAGTTTGGAGCAGGGGGCAGGAGAAAGTTATCGGGCCCAGGAAGGGGTGTGAAATACACACCACATTTCTGTCGTCAGCCCCTTCCTGTTGTCCTGGCACCTGGGGGAAACCAGGGCCAGCAGGCACCATGTGTCCTCCACCTAGAAGCTTTCCTCAGGCTTGCTGAGTCACCCACCTGCTGCAGGGAACACACCTATTTTTAGCCGGAGGTAAATGAGCTCTCTAGTCACCCAGACCACATCCTCTTGTGTAACTTTGTCACAGCTAGTGTGGCTGGATGGGGACCACATGGCAGGAACCCCCGACCCCAACCAAGGCCCCTTCCTCTTCTTCCTCCGAGAAGCCGCCCTGCATGGCAGTCACTCACAAAGGCCCAGGAGACAGCGTGGCAGAGGGGCGGTGGGTGGCACACCAAGGTGGGGGGTGGGAGCGGCCCACCCTTTGGGAGGAGGAGTTTGTCACTGCCGTTGATTAGAATTGCTGGTGCATCGCTGCTGTTCGGTTTGTTATTGTTTGTAATTTTTCTATGGACGATACATCCTCTCATTGTGCCTGGACGGACCATTCCCATGGCCCTGCTTTCGGGGACAGGAAATTAAGGCTGTGGACACCCTGGAGCCAGCAGCCTGGTTGAAGGCAGCCTCACCACTTGCTAAATAACTGTTTGACTCGGGCAAGCCCCTCAGCCACTCTGAGACCTGAGCTCTCAGCTCCTGGCTGGCACCCAGGTCACAGAGGCCGGCGACTGATTCGCAGGAGTCAGAGCAGGAAGGGAACTTACGTGACATCAAGTCCAAGCCCCCTTTATTGACGGGAGAATGGAAGGGAAGGAAGGGGCAGGGGCGTGCCCATGTCAGGTGCCCAGAGACTCCTCTAAGACCTTGTGCAGCCAGAGCCACCTCACAGGTAAAAAGCCAGTGAAGAGCAGGTACTGACGGGGAGACCTGTGCCAGTCAGAGCCACCAGCTCGTCAGTCTGCGTCCTGGCACCTGCACCCAGCACGGCGTAGGGAGGTATTTCTCAGAGAGGAGTCCATGGACCACCTGCATCAGAATTACCTGCATCACCTGGGGGTCCCTGTTAAAAGTGCAGACTCGCTGGCCGGGCGCAGTAGCTCATGCCTGTAATCCTAGCACTCTGGGAGGCCGAGGCAGGCGGATTGCTCGAGGTCAGGAGTTCGAACCCAGCCTGAGCAAGAGCGAGATCCTGTCTCTACTATAAATAGAAATTAATTGGCCAACTAACATATACAGAAAAAATTATCCAGGCATGGTGGCGAATGCCTGTAGTCCCAGCTACTCGGGAGGCTGAGGCAGGAGGATTGCTTGAGCCCAGGAGTTTGAGGTTGCTGTGAGCTAAGCTGACGCCACGGCACTCACTCTAGCCTGGGCAACAAAGCGAGACTCTGTCTCAAAAAAAAAAAAAAAAAAGTGCGGACTCGGGGTGGTGTCCAGCACTGTCACTCACTAGTTGGGGGTTTTGAGGGGTGTCAAACCAACTGTGCCCCAGTTTCCTCACCTGTAAAACGAGGCTCACCCTCCTTGTGTAGATGTGAGGGACAAATGCATTCACAGGTGCACAGGTGCATTCACGGCACCCGGCACATCAGGACTGGGCCGCATAGGATTCCAGTTATTAGCATTTGTTTCTCATCCCCGGCAGGCAGCACCTGTGAGGCTTTGCGGTTCCTGCCCCAGCACTGAAACAGACCCCACCTCTTCCGCATCAGGCCAGTACCTCTCACCTGCCGGTGACTTCCAGAACTGACTCCGCAAATCTCTGCCCATCTGCGGCACTCCTTGGCCCAGAGCTCAGACCTCAAGATGTTCTACAGTCTGCTGAGAAAATGCCCCAACGCAGCTGTGGGACACAGAAGTCACTCAGCAGCAACATGCTGGCTGTGCCCCTGCTCTGTGTCTTTCTTCCTGGTGACTGAGCCCAGTGCCTGTCCAGACCCTTTTAGAAACAGAACCCTTTTTCTGAACGACACTTGAGAGGGCACAGGGCCCCAACGTACACAGTTGATCAAAGCTGCACTCCATTCATTGAAGTTTATTTTCTAAGTTCAAGTTCCCACCAGGTTGCTGCGTTATTACGAAATCAGTGTGGACACAAGTGGGCTCCAGCAGGTGAAAATCACGTATTGCTTCTAAATGTGCGTGCTGCTGCTCAGTACGAACATTCAGGTGGTTTAAAATATCTTTTGGAAATCATGTTTAAATTGAGCCTCTACAAAAGCCACAAAGCTCATTGAAAAAGGCCAATTTGTTGTTTAGCACGTTTTGCAGCTCTGGGGGATTCCAAACACCCTTTATTGGATAAAGAAACTGAGGCACTGGTGGGAGAAGAACTACGTAAGTTCGGTAAGTGGCCACAGCAGTGACAACCCAGGCCCACTGAGTCCCAGGCCAGGGTTCCCTCTATACACCCCCATCCCCAGCCTGGCCACCCAGGTGGGCCACTCACAGGGTGGGAGCCTGCTCAGGTGGCTCTGGTCATTGGTTGGTTGTGGGTGACAAACTGTCTATGACCTTCAGTGTCTGTGGCTGAGCCAGAGGGTGGCAGGAACAAAGCCAGGCACCCCGGCCTGGGTGTGTGGGCCCCATTTGGGAGCAGGAAGGGCTGTGCTGGAAGGGTTTGGCTGGCCTCAGCTTTGACCACTGAGCTCTTGGTCCGGGCAAATACTCATTCTGCAAACAGTATCTGGGTTTTTCAGTACTTTGAGATCCCTAGCTAAAAGGCTGCCAAGAAATGTAAATAATTATTATTGTTGATGACAATTTCCTCTCTGGTTGGTAGGCTGTGCTCATGCCAGTCCCTGATCCCTGAGAAGGGACCCCAGAGCCCTCAGGCCACGCCTGGGGTGTCGTTGCCAGTGGAGAAGCCTGGTCACCGCTGTCTTTCCCACCACGGCCCGCCCACCGCACCTGGCACGCGCCAGCCAGCCTTCTCCCTCTGGAAGAGCAGCTGCCAAGGTGCTGAGTCACCACCGTGGTGTCAGCTGGCACTCCCCACCCTGAGAAATGTGCCCCAGGAGGGTGTGGCAAATCACCCTGTGCTGACAGGCCTGTGATGACCTGCCCGCACCAGGGAGGAGCTGGATGTGAGGATGTGGGGAGGAATCTGTCCCCAGCTCTGGGCCCGGGTTCCCTGCAGGGACCATCTCATGGGGCCTCAGTGCACAAGGGTCCTTGTGGAATAGGGTCTAGACTCTGTCTGCAGGGATGGGTTGGGGGGTCTCGTTTGCTCCCTGCCGCCCCCAGGAAGTGTCCAACAGAGGGGAGGGGAAAGGGGAAGCCACAGAGAGTGGTACCAGGTGCCTGGGGGGGGGTCCTCCTACTTAATAGCTATGGCTCCTGTGTAGGTTACTTCAATTCTATTGTGTAAGCACTTTGGGGTTTTTTTGTTTGTTTTCTTTTATTAAAGGTACATGCAAACAGTTTTTAAAACTGAACAGAAGGAAGGCTCATCCCTCCTCTGAACCCTTTATCCAGTTTCTCTGTCCCATCAGCCCTTCCCCAGAGCAACTGCTACCACCAGGCTGGGGTTATCCTACCAAAGATACTCTGTGTACCTACAAGTACATATGTGTGTGTATGTGCATGTCCTTTAATTGCTTTATTATTATTATTATTATTATTATTGAGACAGAGTCTCACTTTGTTGCCCAGGCTAGAGTGAGTGCCCTGGCATCAGCCTAGCTCACAGCAACCTCAAACTCCTGGGCTCAAGCAATCCTTCTGCCTCAGCCTCCCGAGTAGCTGGGACTACAGGTATGTGCCACCATGCCCAGCTAATTTTTTCTCTATATATTAGTTGGCCAATTAATTTCTTTCTATTTATAGTAGAGACAGGGTCTCGCTCTTGCTCAGGCTGGTTTTGAACTCCCAACCTCGAGCAAGCCACCTGTCTTGGCCTCCCAGAGTGCTAGGATTACAGGTGTGGGCCACCTTTAATTAAAGGGCCTCCTTTAATTGCTTTTAAAAAGGGAACATACTGTATACATTTTTTGGAACTTTTATTTTTTATTTAATGCCATATTTTGAAAATTGGTTCCTATTGGCAGCTGGGCTCTATGTCTGTTTCTAATGGCTCTGGGCAAGCCCCTATACCCACTCAGAAAGTGTCTAAACAGGCCCTTAGTAATCGACACTGATGGGTCTCCAGTCTTTGGCTCCTTTGAGGAACAGTCTTGTGAATATGTTTATTTATCTTTGTTCCTCCTGCGCTTGCTATGCCCCGCGCACCCATGGCACTGGGTGGAATAAGGGCCTCATAGTGTACAAGTAAATGCCTGGCTCTCAGGTAGTGAAGGCAGCCCCACCAGGACCTTGAAGAGCCCTCATGTGAACAATGCTACAGAAAGGGTAGAAGGAGGAAGTGGGTGGGGTGGATAAATAAGATTCATTTTTGAAATTATTTTAACAAGTTCTTTTCTGATTATAAAGAGAAACATACTCATTATGGGAAATTGGGAAAACAGTAAACAGATAAGAAAATAAAAGTCACTCCCTCCCTGCAACTTGAGGTAACCGCTGCTGATTTAGAACATTTCCTGCCAGCCTATTTTCTAGATACAAAGGATTTCTGGGGATCAAAGGGTCACGAAGGAGGGACATCCAGGGAGGGTCATCTCTGAGCAGAGGTGGAGCTGCAGGGAACACTGGACTCTTTCAGAACATACAGACAGAGGGGCAGAAGCAGGAGGGGACAAGAGGATATCTGGGAGACCAGATGGGGGCAAGAATAGGGTGTGACATTGCAGGTGAGCCTGAGGGTGACAGGGAAGAATTTGCACCCAGGTCACTGGGGACCTGGGAGCCACTTGCAGGCATTTGAGCATAGACTGAAAAGTTCAGCCTAGCAAAAATCTGAAAAATCTGGCTTTGAGATTTTGGAAGGATATCTAAGAAAAAATTTCGTCAGGGACTTTGCAAGAGCAAGTCTAGAGCTCCAGAAGGAGGTCTCAGCTTCTCCACCTGTAAAGTACCGATGACACAGATACCTATATCAGAGGGTCAGCACAAAGGTTACACAAGGCGATGCAGCCAAGAGCCCAGCATGGTGCCTGGCACCCAGAGGCACTCAGTAATATTGACAGAAAACAGAATGAGAGCAAAGAGAGGGTGAGATTAGAACTATGGTTGAAGGTGCTGGGAGGAAGAGATGCCATTAAAGATTCCAGAAGAGAGCAGCCTTCTGAACAGGAAGAGAGTGGCCCTGGTGCAGAGCAGTGCCTCAGGGTTTCAGGGAAGATTTGGTGACAATGCCAAACACTGCCTGGGGCCAAGGATGGGATCAAGGCCTACAAGGTCCCTGGCAAGTGGCAACTTCAGAGCTGTTGCCATGGTGATGTGGATGGAAGCCAGAAGATAAGAGGTCAGGGTTGGGGTGGTGGGAGACAATGAAGTCCAATCAGTGAATTTTATAAGACCTTCAAGTAGGTTGCCAGTGAAAGGAAAGGGGGAAGTCATAGCTCATAGGAAAGATTGTAGGGAAGTTGGAAAGAGATGTTTTGTTTTGTTTGGGGTGGAGGATATTTCAACATGTTTATATACTGAGGAGAAGAATTCAATACAAATTCTCAAAGAGAGGAAATGACTAAAGATGTTCTCCAACTCTCTCAGACTTCAGTTTCCTCATTTTAAAAATCAGAGAGTGGATAAGAGATCTCTGAGGCCCTGCCAGCTTTTTTAGCTCTTAGCTCTTTCATTCATCTATTCATCCATCCATTTCATACATCAATCCATTCAATCCACCCATCCATCCAATCCATCCATCCATCCGTCCAATCCACCTATCATTCTATCCATGCAACCCACTTCTCAATCCATCCATCCAATCCACCTATCATTCTATCCATGCAACCCACTTCTTAATCCATCCATCCAATCCACCTATCATTCTATCTATGCAATCTACTTGTCAGTCCATCCATCCATCCAATGCATTCACACATCTAATCTATCCATTCATCCATTTCTCCATCCATTCAAACCATATATCCATCCATCCATCAAATCCATCCATCTTCCCATCCATTTGTCCGTCTGTCTACCCGTCCAATCCACCTATCCATCTATCCATCCAATCCTATAGTCAATCCATCCATCCATCCAATCCATCTATCCATCCATCCATTTATCCATTCATCCAACCCTTTAACATACATGCCATAGACATCTGGCCTGGCCTAAACGCTAAAAGGGAGGCCAAGGAGTCCAGGGAGGGAGAGACAAAAAATAGAAGCAAAGGACCCCTCTCTTCAGGGTCTGTATTTAACAGCAAGATTAAACACCATCAGGCAATGACTTAACCGCATCACAAAGGTACCTCAAAACTTATGTCCCTGTAGCCCTTTGAAATGATATTCTAGCACTTACCCAACCCCCCACCTGCCTCATCCCTGGCCTACTACCCCCCAGCCTTTCAGAACCTGCATTTGTTTCATTATTCCACTGGGTTCTCCCATACCCAGCATTGTGCTGGCTCATGGAAGCAATCAGATAATTAGTACCTATCAAGTCCATTCATCCAACAAGTATTTATTGAACATCCACCACGTGCCAGACACTGGGAGAGAATGGTGAATGAAAAAGAGCCACTCCTCCTTGAAGTAGTTGGTCTTCAATTACTTGGCTTTGCATTGGACGGTCTTGGGAAGCAAAACTTCTCCGAAGGAGTAACTTGGGATCTGAAAGAAGAGTGAAGTTTACCAGGTGAACAGCATTCCAGGTGGGAACTGGGATTCAGCCCATGCAAAGACAGAAGGTAAAAAGAGGGCGTGGGGGGAAGGAGAGAAGAAAGGAGAGAAGGAGGGAGGGAGGACAGGAGGACAAGGGCCTGAGAGAAGGCCTGTGATTGGGATGGGGCGGCTCTAGGGCAGAGAGGCAGGCAGGGGCTCGTACCCAACGAACGGAAAGTGCTCTTCATCTGAGAGCTGTAGGAAGCCACTGGAGTCCTTCAAACGTGGCAGTGACATGATCAGTTTTGGTTTCAAAGGACCGCCTTGAAGAAGTGAATTGCAGATCAGCCTGTGTAGCCCGACATACCACACTGTATATCTGGGACTGGGATAAGGGCTGGCTTTCACCTCTATTTTGGACGTTTTGGTCACTTTTTATAAATAATAAGCCTGTTCTGCTTTTGTTATCAGGGAAAAAAATAAAAAATACTAAAAATTACAGAACAGCCTGGGGAAGGGCAGGTGCACATGCTACAAGGCAGAGAGGCGCCCCGGCCAGCCCAGGGGGGCAGGAATCATGCCCAAAACAGGCAGAGTGGGATGGAGCTGGGGCTGAGCTGGGTTTGGTGGCCGCTGGACCCTCCCCTCCTTCAGAGGGCTCTCTCCGGGGCTCCCTCCTTGCCTGGGGAGCCCGCCCTTTCCAAAGATGTGAGAGACCAAAGCAGGCCCTGTGCCCAAGGAGGTGTCCACATTTCCTGACAGTTGTTCCAAGCACGAAGCCACACCAGCAGCCACACGAGGCTGGCCCCCACCCCCTGAGCTGGCCTTGGGGAATGGGGCTTCTCCCTGGGGGATCATCGTTCTGGTCCCCGGCAAGGGCTGGGCCTGTGGGAAGTGCTTTGTCGCCGGTGCCCAGCAACCAGGCTGGGTTTTGGAGGGAGCTTGGAGTCCCCAGGAGGAAAGCCCTGTCCGGGAAGTCTCCCATTGCGTGGGGCAGAGGGTGGGCTTGGGTGGGGGCCCAGGTGGGTGTCCCCTTAGCTCCAGCCCTTTAGGCCCCTCCAGAGGGGCATTGGCTCCTTTCCCCAGAGGACAGGCTGCAGGAGGTGGGGAAGGAGGGAATGAGTGTTCTTCTTACCACTCGGATCCTGTGTGATCTTTGAGAAGTCACCAGGTTTGCCCACCAAGCAGTGTGGAGGCCAGAGGTGCACGGTTCCAACCCTGTGGGACGTGGACCCGTCCGGCTGCCTGCAAGTCTCACTGGCTGTATGTGGAGGGGAGGCCAGGCCTCCAGCCTTGGGGAGGGGACTTCAGGTTTGGGCTCTCCTGGAAGAAGAGTCTTTGTGGAATTGCTCTCTGAGGGGAGCTGATGGTGACCTCAAACCTGAGAGCTGCAGCCCAGATCTCAGACTTTCAAAGAGGTCAAGGGGGGAAGGACAGGGGAGGTTTAGGAGTCCGACAGTCTGGGAAATGGAAATGATGCTGGCTCCGGCCCCTCCTGTGCGTGGCCTCTTATAGGCCACCTCTGTGACCCACTTCCACCTCCCCACCCCTGTCCCCACCTGCCCTGGGTCCAAGAAACCCAGCCTGACCCGGCGGCAAGGGGCAGGCCCTGAGTAGGCCACTTCCCTCTCTGGGTTTCGGTTTCTTCATTTTCTGAAACTGGGAGCTCTGTGAAAAGGCCAAGGGCAGGAAAAGTAGTCATTTCTCATCTGCAGGCAGTTTTCGCCTCATACGAGGTACGAGGTGGACACACGACACAGGCTCACGCATGGGCTGAACCCAGGATGTGTACCCTGAAATCCCAAACGGCTGAATCCGTTTTGTCTCCTGTGAGAACCAACAGCGAAGGCAGGTTCGATGATTTCAGCCACATGCGTGCACGAGACATTTGAGTTGCCCAGCCTCAACCCATTAGACGTGTCCTGGGAGGGGTGGCGAGCTGAGGGAGGGGGGACTAGGGGACCTAGGGAGGGTCATTTTCCTGGAGTGGGGGCCGAGGGGCTAGAGAGGGCACAGAAGAGTCACTGCTGAACCGCTGTCCTCATCTTCACTCTGTAGAAACCTACTTTCTAGGACTCTGTTCTATAAAATATTAGCACAAATTCGAAAAGGTATACGCAAGAGCATGTTCATCACAAGACTGCTTTTCCTGGTAAAAATGGAAAGCGACCCACAAAAACATCCACAGCATGCTGCCAGGGTATCTAGACCAAACTGGAATGTGGTCCATGACACGTTACTGTAGGAAGAAGCAAGTCGCAGACTTGAAGGCAGGGTGTGATCTCATTCTATTACCATACACACCTTGTGTTCATATACTGTAACTGAATATAGTATGTGAACTAATGCTACAGACACATGCATTTACACATGCACATTTTGAAATATAGAAAAGAAAATCACAGCAAACTGTTAACAGCACTTACCTTTTGGGTAGAAAAAAGACATACATATATATATTCATTCATTCATTCATTTATAAGAAACAAGGTCTTGCTATGTTGCCCAGGCTGGTCTCAAACTCTTGGGCTCAAGTGATCCTCCCACCTCAGCCTCCCAAAGTGCTGTGATGACAGGCATGAGCCACTGCACCTGGCCTATTTTTTTTCTTTTATACATTTCCGTATTGTTTGAATTTCTTAAAATTAGGACCTATTTTATCTGACTTACAGCCCCCTCTAATAAACAAGAAAGGAACTAGAAAGAGTAGACGGTCAACCTTCTCCTAGGAGCAGCCAGAGGAAGCTGAGGCTAACATGTTGCAGGATGACGCCCCAAGTACAATTGGAATTAGTAGAATGAGACGCCATGGCAACGGGAATGAGGTGGAGTGGAGAAGACCAACCCCTTTCCTGCATCCGGGGATCCTGCCAGTCCACACCTCCATCCTGCAGGGCCTGGTGAGCTGGCACGGTGTTAGACGCCAGCTCTGCCCCTCAGAGGTGTGCTGGGCTCTTCAGGAGATAGGGCATGTGACCGTTAAGCCACTTCGGAAGTCCGGAACGTTTCTGCAGCATGCTGTCTCTTCATTCCGGGATACTTGCTAAAGAACCCCTACTGCTGATAATTAACCCGGTAGTACAACGGCACCCACCGTTTGTTGGCCTTTCCACGCACTAAGCGCGTTACACCTATCATCTCTTTTCGTCCCAATCAGTCCTATGAAGTAGGTGGGTCCGTCCTTTAACTCCATTTTACAAATAAGGAACCTGAAGCTCAAAGGGGATGTGTAACTCGCTGAAGGTCACATAGCCACAGAGGCAGAGGCTGAATCCAAAACTGCTTACTCTGACTCGGAATCCACCTCAGAGTGGCCAATCGGTGGCCTCTGCGTGACACGTAAAGCAAGAAGATACCAGTGATTGTTTGGGACCAGGTCTTCTCGGTAAAGTTGCCGTTAGCCTGACCACAGGTGCTTCTCAGGAAGGAGCTGAGGGTTTGGTTTGGTGATGTCAGTGGCCAGGGTCAGGTGGGCCAAACCAGCACTAGGCCATGAGGCTCGATGCTGCCGGGGCTGGTTACTGCCCAGATTTAAAGGAGAGGTGGGAAAAATAATCCTAGTCCACCACGTGGCTTGGCCGGCCATAGTGTTTACACGGTTAAAAAAGGTCGAGACTGAATGATGACATAACCCAGATTGCCATCGAGGTACTCCTGTGTCAGGAAGGTGGAGGCAGCGGGTGAGCGAGTTGCAGCAGAGCTGAAAGGACTCCTCGTCTCCCAGGGCAGGAAATTAAGAAAAAAAATGCCTAAAACTGCAAAGATCAAGAAGAAACCATCTGAAGTGTTATTTAGAGACATGAAAGCGAATGTTCCAAAGCATCAGTTTCGAGCGTTGAAAGTGCCACCCCTGGAGACGGATCAGGGCTGCAGTTGCTCATCCTAACTTTGGAGAAATCTTTGCGAAATCTATGCTCGTGTGTAACTTTGATTTAAGGGAAAAATTAGATGACGTCCAAAAAGCAAAAAAAAAAATAATAATAATAACAATTGCGGCCCCAGCTGGGGAGGGAGGTGAATGGGCTGTGGCTGGGGGAATGGGCACCCCAGACAGGGGCGTCTGTTGTCACTCATACCAGGGGAAGCTGGTGGGCCTGGGCAAGGCGACGGCTCTGGTGGAGAGAGATCTTTAGAGTGGTTGCTTCACTTGGAATTGGGGAGGGTGGAAGAAGGTAGGAGGGTTAGAAAGAAAAAAAAAAAGAAAAGGAACCAGAGGGAGAAAAGAAAAGAAAGCCAGAGCATTCCACAGTCAAGGTCATGCTCCTTTGAGATCTACAGCCTTTTGTTGGGGGATGTGGATGAATGGGCCCTTTGGTTACTCGAATATAAAACAAAGGTGTGGTCTCCCCACCAAATGGGGGAGTTCCCACCATGAAGCCAGCGTGCTGTGGAGCAATGGGAATTGTTGAACCCGTTCCTGGTGCTCAGGCCCACACAATCCACACCGGGGGTGTAGGGGCCTGAGGGGCAGGGGCAGGAAGGGAAGGCCACATCAGAATATTCCAAGAACAGGTGGCTTATACAGACATCAAAGGTCTCAAGACAGGGTGTGTTCTTCCAGACAGGTGAGGCCCAAACACCCACAGATGGAGAAGGAGCCCAGCCTCTCAACCCCTCCCCCAGCCCACACTCAGTCATTGTCCCCTCCCCCCAGGAGGTCCCAGTGGAAGGCATTGAATGGGAACAGGGTCAGGCTGTGCCTCTGGAAAAGCCCTCTTCTTGGGAACTGAGCGAGCCCAGGCCTCCAGATTGGCCTCTGTTCCCCACAGTCACGCCACCTCCTCCAGGAAGCACTTCCTGGATGAGCTCACCCACGCACACCTTGCCTTACATAACACGCTTCCTGGTGTCCTGACCTCCAGATATTTGGTCTGTAGGGGACACCTCAGCCCCTGTCTGAGAGATGCACGATGCAGTGTGGCCAGGCCTGGCCCTCAGCGTGCCAGGCATGGGCGTGAATCCCGCTTTTCTGTGTGCTAGTTGTGTAGACGCTTTGAGGCTAACTTTCCTCAGCCAGGAACATTCGGATTGAAAAACTCACTTCCTACAGCTGTGAGGCTTGAAAGTGCTGACCTGGGTCACACACTGGCCCAAAGTGGAGCAGGACTAGGACGACTGAGACGGGGCAGGGGTGGGATGGGTGAGGTGGGGGCTGGGCAGCCCTCTCTCAGGGGCCACTGCAGCGATACCTGCTGGGGCAGGAGTTTGGACTGGCCACCCTCAGAGACCCTGTGGGCCAGGACGTGCCTGTCACTCGAGCTCCTGCCGTCACCTCCACCGTGGAGAAGAGGCTGGTGCTGAGAAATCCTCCGTGAGATGCTGACTCAGGGCAGGAAACAGGATTCTGTACATGGAGCCTCGTTCAGATGGGGAAGCAGCTAAGTTCTGCTTCAGATAGTCGTAGAAGGGGATTTGTCTGTCTGTCTGTCTGTCTCTCTCTCTCAGTTTGGGTTCAGATGCAGAGGCCCCTTGGGAACTAAACCCCTCCTACTCTCAGCCTATATCTTTTCTGGATGCTCTGTGTCATGTAGCCATTGCCACCAGGGTCACCAGCCAGAGCACATCACTGCCACATGGCCCTGGACCCCCCAATTCTGACTCTTACCTGCCAAGGCCACCCTCTGTCCCCCTGGGGATCACCAACACTCTCCCATCTCCCTTTTTCTTTCATCTTTGCCTCAGCCTGGGCCAGATGAAGGGACAATGATCTACATCCTAGAGATGATAGACTGACCTAGAGGACAGAGTGACTCACCGTCATGCCTGCCCAGACTGGCCATCTCCTAACTCAGCCCCCAGCGCTCTGATCCGCCCACCCGCTGTCCCCAGAGTTACCTTCGTAAAGCTGGCCTGGCCTTGTTAGTCCCCCACGCAGACTCTCCTGGCTCTTTCCCGGTGCCCACCCAGTAAAGAGGCCCCAGCTGCCTGGCCTGTGCCATCACCCCAGGGTCCCTCCATACACCCTTTGCTGTGACCACACCAGACCACCTGCTGCTCCTACTGCATGTTTCTCTCCCCTCCCTTTTCTGATGCCAACATTGAATTTATCAAGAAGGTCCAGCTCCAGTGTTGCCACCTCCTCTGGAGCTTGCCCGCCACGAAGCATGACTCCCTCCTTCTCTGCGCCTGCCGAGCACTTTGCTTTTCCCCTCCCGGTGCGTCAATTTCATTCCTCAGAGCTGGGGTGGGGGTTGCACAGTTAGTCCCTGCCAGGGTCTGCGAGCAACTTCAGATTCCAAACCAGACTTAGTCATTTTTGGTCTATGACCTTGGGAAGTGATTTGATCTTTTCTGGGCTATGAAGTGGGGATGATACCAGCTTTGCCAGGTTAGGTGAGGATTAAGCAAATCGCCCAGCCCAGTACTCGAAGAATGCTGGAAGATGATTGTGAAGCGAGTCAGTTACAGCCAGGTCTGGCTAAGTCTCCTGAGCCCAGGAAGCTGTGCTGTTCACTCACCTCCTTCCCCCAAAATGCATTAAACCCACCTGGGAAATTCGGTTGCTGTGGTTCTTAAAGGCAGCTGCACGCTGGAACCATCAGAGACCAGTTGCATCAGAATCCCTTAGGGAGCTTGCTGCAAATGCAGATTACTGGGCCTCACGCTGGACTCTCTGAATCAGATCTCCAGGGCGGAGCCCAGGAACCTGTGTTTTTGACAAGCTTCCCAGGGGGCGATGATGAACAGCTCTGGCCACACTAGGCCATAGGAAACACAGAGGGCAGCTGGGCTGGGGACATGACGACACCTTCCCCTTTTCTTAGGTGGTAGCAGGGGTGGCTTTAAGGGATAGCAGTGCCAACAGCCAGTGGTACTTGTGCACCCCACCCAGCTTTCCTTTGAACCCCGGCTGGAGGCTGGACACGGCGGGACTGATTGGCAACCAGACTTGGTCACCGGATTCACCTCTGTCTCTCCAGCCATCAGCAAAGTACCCAGCCTAGCCTGGGTGCTCAGCAAATATTTGTTGAACCAACTGAACTCCCCTGGGGCCAGCTCTGGCAGGACACCCAGGACCCCAGTCCCTGCTCCTCCCTCTGGGTCTGGCTGTCTCCCCGCAGAGCACGTGGGGGCTGCTTGACTGGTTCCATGGGGAGGGCATGTAAAGTCGGGGGTGGGGGGGACTGTCCATCCTTAGCCCTCAGGAAGAGAAGCTGGGTGCAGGGGTGGACGTGTGGGGACCCTATCCTTCCAGCAGTCAGCTAGGATTCACTGAGCTGAGGCCCTGTCTCTGACTTAGGGCCTGCCCAGGGCCTCTCAATCCCACCAGCATGTTGGGATATCGGAGAAGGTTTAGAAAGTCCCTGTACTAGGCCCACCTCAAACCAAAGAGTCAGGATCTC